CCAACCCTTTTTATATATGGATTGTACAGGCCTAATACCAGTTTTTGTTGGATTTTGTTGGACTTGTGAATTTACAAGTAAAGCAAACCACTGAAGTCATATTGCCTAAATTCTTGGCTGTTTGGCAGAGCAGACCATGTCCATGCAGGGGGGAGCCAAGGGAGGTTGTTTCCTAGTTTAATTGTTTGGTCTTTTGCCTCAATGTGAGATGGTGGGGATGGCAGAGTCAGAGCATTTCCTTCTGTTTCTTCTGTGCTTGACATGTATCTCTTCCTCTGAGTTGAGGGGTGGGAAGAGCTGATTCTTCCATGAGAAGCTAATTTTCCTTCCAGCTGTTCCTGTGTTGGTGGCCAGGCCCTCAGGCTTGCAGCCTGAGCTCTGAGCTGGCAGGTTGTGCACAGAGGGTGGGTTTGTCCTGCTGACACGCGGTCACAGCACACTCCTGAAGATCAGGGCAAGGCCCCTGCTCCATCAGCTCTGGGGACCCGTGCCAGCCTGTACCTCTGCTGGGAGGGCCGCAGGGTGAGGAGGGTGGCAGCTTCTGAAGGACAAGCATGTTAGATCCTGTGGGAAGTGTAGGTCCCTCCTGGGAAGGACAAGAGTGGGTCTGGCCGTGTGCTGCTGAGGAGCAGAGGGAGGCTGTGGGTCAGGCTGCAGGGCCTGGGTGGGGATGGTAGAGCTGCCACTGTCACTGTTGGACCTGGAGACACCCAGTCCCATGGGACTCCTTGAGCCTGCTCTGGGCAGTGACATCATGGCTATATTGGGGATGCCGAAGGTGCCTGGAGTAGCGTGGTGGTGGGAATTGTGGCCACGTGCTGCTCACCATGAGAGCACAACATGGCCCTGCTCTGCTGGGAAGTTCATTGATGTTCCCTCAGCCCAGCCCTGCAGGAAGCCATGCATTTTTTATGGCTGGTCTAAAATATGGTTAACTTGTTCACTGCAATTGCTATTAATTTTAATTTATCTTGTTTATGGGGACCAGATGTTCATTAACATTTATTGTTCTGCTTATTCCATGCATAAAGCAGTTATGCCTAACACCCCAGCCCCACAGGTGCTGCTGTGCTGCTGGGGGACACACTGGTGACACTCAACATGGTGAGCTGGTCACCTGCCCCTACAGCACCTTGGGCACAGTCCCTTCTGTCCCCTCTGCAGCAGGGACAGTCTGTGGGATCCTCATCCAGAGGGCAGGTTGGGTACACAGGATGCTGGCAACTTTTCCAGCACCTTTTCTGTTGCAGCCCAGCAGCCCCCCTGGCCTGGCACTGCCCTCAGGCTGCTGCTGTGGCTGAGGGCTCACAGCAGGGCAGGAGTTAAACCTAAGCAAGCTTAGGAATTGGAAAGAAATTTTGAATAGCCAGACTAATTTCTGGGGTAAGGAGCTGCAGTCACCAGCAAGAAGGCCACTAGGACCAGCAGGATGAGTCCTGCCATGAGTAGGGTCTGCAGTGCTACTCTACACAGATGTTTTCCACAGAGGTAAAGACAAACATGGCTGGTTTCACTGCCAAAAGTCTTGCTGGAAGTTTTGAAGAGCTCTCTGAGTACCTGGGACATGCCCAAAGACTGTTTGGAAGAGAACACCCCCTGGTGCCACCCCCCAGTCCAGATGTGCTCTGCACACTGAGAAGTGACCCCGGGCTTGGATCTCTGTGTGTTGCAGTGGATTAAGGTCACACAGTTAATGTACAGGTAAATGAGTGGCTGTTTGAGTAACATTTCCTTGACAGTATAATCCATGCCCTGCAGCTTCTAATTAGGTGCTGCTGTTTGAATTCATCACCAAGAACAGCAAAGAATTAGTACATGGGCAGCGGCAGAACTGACAGCACCTTTTAATGCTTTAGCAAATGATGGGATTTGTCCTGCTGGACACTCCCCGGGGTTCAGGATGGAGAGCAGCCCTCCCCCTGCATCCTGTGTGCCCCTTCCCCTGGCCCTGCTCAGGGCACAGTGCCCCAGCTGTCATGCAGCTCACCTGGCACAAGCAGCTGTTCTGTGCCAGATCCTGCTCCAGGTTTATTGTTGCTCTGACTCAGCTGTCAGCAGGGATTTCAAATGGAAAGTAAAACCAGATTCTTCCTAAAAAGCACTGAGCCTCTGAACTGCTCTGGCAGGGGGGTTGGACTAGATGATCTTTTGAGGTCCCTTCCAACCCCTATGATTCTATGATTCTATGAACCTGCACTGGAGCAGGAGGGAGCAAGAGGAGCCCCAGGTTGGGGGACCCTCACAGAGAGGGTGATAAGACACTGAAATGGACTTCCCAGGGATGTGGTGGAGGCACCATCCCTGGGTGGGTTCAAGGAAAGGCTGGATATGGCACTTAGTGCCATGGTCTGGCTGATGTGATGATGTCAGGTCATAGGCTGGACTTGATGATCTTAAAGGTCATTTCCAGCCTTGGTGATTGTGTCTTCCCTGGCTGCTCTGCAGCCCTCCTGGAGCACAAGAGGGAACATTTCAGTGGAATTGCCCATCCCCATCACAGTTAATTGATTGTTAGTGTCTGAATAGAGGCAAATGAGCTCTGCAGCCACCCCAGGGCTGACAGGAACCCACAGCAGCTCACCTGAGCTCCAGCAGGGCAGCCAGGAGGGCCCCACCTCGTGTTGCTGACCTGTCAGCTGCAGGTGAAACACTGCTCGAGGCCAGGAGGACGTCAGAACAGTTATATGAATATATTTTATATATATATATATATACACACATATGCTGCCAGCTAAAGCTGGGTTTGCTTGGGTGAATTAGGCTGTTGGAGCAGACTGCTGAGGGTGAGGGCTCAACAACCCATCCAGAGCAGCCCCTCTTCTATGGCCATGAATGTCCCCATGCACCCACCCAGGCTCATCTTGCAGAGGCCAGGCTGTGGGGTAAGACTAAGGGCCCTGGTGACTCCACAGACCCCCATTATTGGAGATGCTTAGTGCTGAGGCTGGGCTCCTGGGCTAGTATCTGGGATTTGATAATGTTGCTATCTGCATGCATGAGCAGGACACGGCTTATGGCTCTGGGCCAGCACTGCCCCTCGGGTGCTCTTTGCACATTTGGGGTTCCCACACGCTGCCAGGGGTGGCTGTGGGGCCAGAGGGATGTTTGCTCAGCCCCACCATGGCCCCTGTGCCCAAGGAATGACCCTTGTCACAGTGTGCCTGGCTGGAGGGGGAGGCTGTGTTCCTACTCCCCAGTTTCCAAATTATCCACTGCCCCCATGTGATCCCTGGGGGTTCTGGGACCTCCAGGACAGAGCTGGCAGCCACCCTCTGAGCAGGGACCTTCTCCAGACAGGGTGCCTCAGAGCTGCCATCACACGCGAGGCACGACAAGCAGCACAGACACGTTTGGGACAACTTTACTTCTGACACCAGAGTGCAGGCTTTCTTTACAGGAATCAAAAAAGAACATTCGGTTTTAAAAAATGGTTCCTTTCCTCTTGGTATTGGATTTTTTTTTTTTTTACCATTTCACTTAAAAAAACAGCTACTCCTGGAAGCCAACACGTGTTACAAATGTGTAAGCCAGTGCACTTTGTAGCCCCTGCCACGACTCCCCCGAGGTGGGGAGCTTGGGCAGGGCTGGGGTCCCCCAGCTGCCCCCTCCTGGGTCCCCAGCTGGTCCCTACACTCTGTCCATCCTGTGTGTCCAGTGCCAGGGCTGGGAGGCCACGAGGGACACGCTGGGATCCTCATGGAGTCTTTCCAAGAGCCTGTCCCAAGGGGCCTTCCCCTCAGAGTCTCATAAGGGTCCCTGTGAGGCTGCAGCGCGGGTGGGAGCCCCTGCCCCCCAGCAGGGGTGCAGGAGGGTCACCCTATGGAGCCACTTCTAGAGTGACAGAGTTGCTTTTTTATTTTTAATTGACTTTGTTTGTTTGCTTTTTGCAGATTGACTGGAAAATCATTACTTTTTTTTTTATTATTATTTTTTATTGAACAGTTGCTCAAGAAAAAGAGAGACCTGAACAATCTCCAGAGTAGAAAGGGGCAGCCTTGCCATGCAAAGAGGAGGAGTTATTGTTCTTCTTATCATTATTATTATGATGTAGGACCCCAGACAGCCTCTCTCTGAAGCAGTCAGCTGCTCACAGCAGTATATGGTTGGATTTTTTTTTTTTAGAAGGTCATAAATTAGCAACTTATACTTTATCTTTAAAAAACTTGAATAAATAAATTAATTAAAACAGAAAGAGAGAGAGAGAGAGAGATCGTCACAACATGCAAGAGCTTACAACAGAACAAGTAAAAATGACCAAAGCAAAATAGAAGAAATGCAGAAGAAAAGCCCAGGTTCAGTTTGGTTTGCAATCAATGCAGTTTGGAAGCATAATTTGTAAAGGTATTTCATATACCAAAAAAGGCACCACAGTATCTACAAAGCCAAATCCTCAGGAGCGTTTCTGTGGGGGGGGGGAGGCAGCAGCCTGGCTAGAGCAGACACGTCCCAGGGTGCAGCAGATCTCCCCTTTCAGCTTGTCCATTGCACATCTGAACTTTGCCACTTTACGTTTGGTTTTGCTGTGTCTGTTGGTAAAACCACAAAAAGTAACAATAATAAAAAGACGAACGTGAGCAACGTCAAAAGGGGACGATGTTCTCACCTGGCGACGTGACAACGGGCAGAGCATTTCTAGGATGGGGTTTAAAACAAAGTGGGTGGGGCCTGAGGGTCCCGGGGCACAGGGTGGGCCTGGCACACGTCCCACAGCTGCCACAGCCACCCTGGGGCCCGCTGGGGACACGGGGACAGCCAGAGCCTGGCACCACCCCAGCCCCCACCTTACACCTCGGCTCTCCACCTGGAAATGAAGAGAAACCTGGTGTCTGCTGCGCGTGCCCGGGAGGGCTCCCCCTGCACAGCCCCTGTCTGCAGAGCAACCACTGAACACAGGGAGGAAAAGGGGGGGAAAAAAGAAAGGAAAGAAAGAAAAGAAACATTTGAAATAATGTGTTTACTAGTGTTCAGTACATGAGATTCCTAAAGAACAACTTGTCCTCCTAGTTAACCTTGTCCTGGAATATATACAGGTTGTTTGTGGCTGCCACGGCGATGATGTTCTCGGAGGGGTGCCAAGCTGTGTGCAGGATCTTTTTGCTAAAGTCCAGACTGTCCACGCTAATTTCGTCTTTCCTCCGCTTGCCGCCCACGCAGACCTTGCGGGGCTTGAGGATGGCGCGGGGTTTGCTGCTCTCCCGCGAGGCCTCCAGCGTCACGTCGCGCTTCGTGTTGCGGTCGAACATGCGGAAGAAGTTGTTGTAGGAGCCGGTCATGATGACGCTGCCGGGAGGGAGGAGGGAGGTGGGTGACCAGACCTGCCCGGCCCCGCAGGGCCCGGGGCACCCCAGGACGGTTGCTGCCCCGGGACGGAGCCACTCACCTGTCGGAGCCGTTCCAGACACACTCGAACTTGTCGAAGATGCAGTCGTTCTCGTACAGCGAGCAGAGCTTGCTCCTCAGGTAGTCGTGAACCTGCCGTGGGGAGACACTGTGAGGCCCCCACACCAGCTGAGGCTGTGGAGCCCCAGCCATGGCCACCCGGCCCAGCCCGCACACCCAGTGCCCCGTGGCCTCCGCGCCATCAGCAGCGGCACCAGCACCACCTCACCCATGGCTTGGGCAGCACCAGGGCCTGTCCCCAGCAGAGGGTGGCCAGGGCCCGCGGGCACCCCCGATGCTCTGCCCTGATGCTCTGCACCTCCCTCAGGGCTGCCAGCACCTGAGCATCCCACCCTCACCCACACCTAACCTGTGGTGTGGGCAACAATTCACCAGGCCACTCCAAGTGTGCCTGAGGTGCCAGTGTAAATGATGTCTCTACAAATCAGAACTGGCATTGTCCACATTTAACTGTTCCTCACTTGCTTTCCATGATTTAACAGCAAGACACTCCTGTCCACCACCATCTCTTCCCCACCGCCACCGGCCCAGGGGTGCAGCTCAGGCAGCAGCACTGTGGGTGCCCAACTGCTGCAGGTGCCAGTCCGTGCCACACTTACCTGGTAGGTCTCGATGGGCCGGTTTTCCATGTTCAGGTCCCACACCTTGACAGTGAGATAGTCCCGGGTCATGATATACCTCCCACTGTGGCTGAATTTGACGTCGGAGATTGAGGAGATGATCTCAGAAAAAAATGACCGGTTACTTGGGTCTTCAGGCTCTTCAAAAACTGCAAAAGAGGAAAGGACAAGCATCAGCTGAGGCAGGGGCTCCTTGTGCCCAGGCCAGGGATCTGCCCTGGAACTGCAGGATGCTCCAGGAGGGGAGTGGGCATCCCTGGAACCCCAACATCGCATGGCAAAGGAGGCTCCAGAGACCTAGAGATGGCACCAAGTTGGCATCCCAGGGCAGCCACCCCCACGGGCCCCCAGCCCCACTCCAGCCAGCGGAGGCACCTGTGTCCCCGTGGGACGTCACCACAAGGGGCTGGTGAACACTCCCTACTCCTGTGCGTGCCCTGGACTGGACACGTGCCTGCATTTTAAAGACTTTTCCTTGGTACAACTGAAGCTCCTTTGCCCCTGATGTGTGTGATAAGCAAGGAGGATCATTGGAGCCCAATCTGTCACCAGCATCACAGAAACCTGAAGATTTAAGGTCCTTTCACACAAGTTCTGCTCTCTGGAAATCAATGTGCAGTGCAACCGAAAGTCAGCATCAATATTTTATAGCCACTGCAGCCTGCAGAGTTAATTTGATCAGTCTTTGAACAAATCACAGCTTGAACAGTTTAAAGGAGGCTGATGAAGTTCCAAACTAAACGTATTTACAAATTTCACTTCAAAGTAACATCAGCTGAGCAAGTATCGCTTTAAAAAACCCAAGTACCAGCACCTGCCTGGGTTCCCCATCCCCTCGCTGAGCTCTGTGCTACACCTGAGCTCCTGAGCACGGTGGAGCAGCTGCCTGACGTGCCAGAAGAAATGATCTCGCTACAAATCAGGAACGGTGCTGCCCTCAGCAGGACCCAGCTCTGGGCCTTTCATCACCAGCAGGAAATATGATGACATGTCAGGCTTTTTAAATAGGAAAAGCGACAGCATCAAGAGAAAACAAAGATCTGAGGCAGTCTGTGGAGAGCCCCTGAGTGCCACCACTCATCTTTGCTGTCATCATTACAGGTTTGCTCGCACCAGGTCGGCCGGCACGGTGAGGCTGGTGCTAATGGCTGCATCGTCGCTGCCATGGATGTGTGTGTGTGAGCTGCTGTCGGGGCTGGAGGTGCTCAGATTGCAGCACCAGAGTAGAGCAGGCTGTTGCTGATACTGTAGAAGTAGAAAATGTTAAATTACAGATCAACCAAACAGGAAAGGCCTCAGAGAATGAACCCAAGAGCTGAGGCAGCACTGAGACAAGTCAGCAAGGCACAAAGAGCCAGGAACAGCTCTGGTTCCCGAGCTGGCCTGAGGACCACAGCACACAGCTGGGCCAGGCAGGGACTTCTGGAGCTATTTTTGCTTTCTGGCTGAAGGCTTTGGTGTGGCTTTGCTTCTGCTGCAGAAGCAGATCTGGGCTGCTGAGCTCATGGAAAGGATTTCTGAGTGCTAATTCTCTGTTACACAACAAACCCCTTTTCCTCTGACAGTGAGCAGGAGCTGCTGCCCTGCTGGCCCCTTTCTCCAGCACCCTCTCCATGGGGTGACCCACCCCAGGGGTGACCCTGCTCCTCGGGGAGCCCTGGCCACCTCTCCACTGCCTGCTGGGGCAGTCCTGTGCCCTCCTCTCAGGGAGGAGCCCAGCACACCTCTGCCTCAGCCCCAGCTACAGCTGCCCCCCCGGACACAACGGGGCTTTGCTTTTGTAGAACTACATCTGCAATTTCCAAGGGCAACATCTGTAAGCTGCCAGGTGCCTTATCAAAGCAGCTCTGAGTGCTTCTTGTTTCTAACCAAAGCCAAAACTGTTGTCAGCAAGGAACGATCGTGTGGCAGCTGTAGGGGAAGGGCCTCCTCTGGGAAATGGGCTGTGCTTGGAGCTTTTAGCTTCAGGATTTAGGTAGGTAGAATCACAGGTGGCTGCTCAAAAGAAAAGCAGAAAGCTGAACGCCTTTTGCTGTGGGGAAATAATTGTTGTGACCCCCAACAGGGCTCTTCCTCACTTTCCCATCCACTTTTCAGAGCAAGATTCCTTTTGCCAGCATTACAGCTGCTCCGGGGATCCCAGTCTCCCTCCTTTGGCTTCCCGTGGTGCTTCAGACAACACATGGGATTTCTTGGTGCCCGGGTGGGTGTTCTCACAGGGCTCCCCACATCCCTGCAGAGCAGCCACTCCCGGATGGCAGCTGATCCTCTCTCAGGCCAGCGGCACGGCTGGAGGTGACACAGACAATGTCACAGATCGCAGGGGCCTCAGATAAAACAGGCAAAGAGAATTTAATAAGAGAAGCACATAAGTAAAAGCTGCCCCAAGCAGCTCACTGCATCTATCTAAATAAACATGACTAGGATGTGCCGAGCGAGCTTCTGCCTTTTTATGAAATATTGACAGTTATTAAACATCTCCGTTGGAGGATTCGCCTCCAAAAGCCGGTGTTGCTTTTCATTTTGAACTTTGATGAACCGTCTCAATTTCAACTCACAGATCTGCTGAACTGCAATCGACTGGGGCTGGTGCTTCTGAGGGACGGAGGGAAATCAATAAGGAAATGTCACAGGAGAGGTCAAACCGAGCTGGGATTCACGGCTGGCGGCTGCAGGGACGCAGCAGTGCCCAGACACAGGGAGGTGCAGGGGGGGCTTCTGCTGCTGAGGTGTCAGGAAAATGGATTTTATTTGCTCCTTAATTGTATTCTGATTCTAAGCTGGGAGCTGTCACTGCAGGACAGTGAGACACAGTCAGGAAATAGAATAGAAAGGTGTGTGGTGCTCAGGATGTGGGAGAACAGCCACTGACTGTCTCTGCTCTCCAGGCAGCACTCCAAGCCTTCCTCTCCACTGTGCCCACAGCTCAGGAGCCCAGAAGCAGTCTCTGGTCTCTAGTTCCATACTGCCTCCAGGAAAACCAAGCCTGAAATGCACCCAGGTGATCTCTGCATGCCCATGATTAGAGCTGGGCTCCAGCAACATGCATGCACTTTGTGCACCTTATTCCTGTAACTTTGAAAGCTGAAAATCTCATTTTCCCGCAAGATATTGGTCTTTTTCTGAAGAGAACTCAAACAAGAACTGAAGACAGAGTGGTTCAGCTGTCCAGTCACAGCACAGCAGCCCTTGCTTCTGCTGTATTTTGCTGTCATTAAGGCAGAGAACAAGCTCCTTTAGGTCTGTCCCAGCTTTATGTCCTATTTTCAAGACTGTGCTGAGCACAAAGCTGCCCCCAGGAGCTGTGAGGCACCCAGGAATCACCAGCCCACCCATAAACACTGTAGGGGTTTGTGCATGGCTGCCTCAGCTGCAGCTCACTCATGGTACGGCCCAGGGGGGCCCAAGGACAGGCTCCTTACCTGCCCAGCCCACGCCAAAGCTTCAGGGGCCTTTTCTGAACACCCTAAGCCCTGCAGCATCAACCACAGTGACCACAGCACAGGGACCTATTTGGACAAAGAGCCTGGAGAAGCCCAGCACTTCCCATCCCAGCTGCTGTAAAAGACAACCCAGTGACCCCTCAGACCGACTGCTGCTGAAACATCACCATGGGGGGTTTAACATGCTCCCCAAAGAGGGGGGGCAGACCTGGGGAACCTGCTCCTTTCAGGGCCAGCCAGACTAAGGGACAGTGGCCAAGGGAGCCCCGGGGACAGGCAAGACCACAGCCCAGCACATCCTGAGGGAGGACAGGGCGACTTGGCAGGGCAGACCTGAGCCCAGGCTGGTCTGCACTCCCATTTTTGGGCTTTTCTACCCCAAAGGGCCCCGTCCCAGCGGCACTCACACTTGGCGTGGCGGTCGCAGAGGGCGGCGGTGCGCATGTCACACAGCCGGATGGTGCCCTTGCTGCTGCTGTAGACGAAGGTGTTGCAGTGGTGGGGGTGGAACTCGGCGGCTGTGATCACCTCTGTCAGCTCCTCCATGTTGGCCGGCTTGATGTCCACGATGTCTGGCAGGGCGAGTCAAGGAGCCCCCGCAGCCCAGCCCAGGCCCTGCTCCCCCGGGGGGGTCACCTCCCGGGGGTCTCCCTCTGCCCATGGATCTGCTGAAATCCACTCCAGCTGCCTAAATTTGCCACATGCCCTGGGGATTCTCAGTAGGAAACGCTATACAAATATCACTGATTATGTGTTCCATTGTTATTATTTCTGATGTAGCTGTTACGAGGGTGACTGGCAGGACCTCATTTGTAGAGCTGTGACTGGCAGCCTGTCACCCTGCTGCAGGGTATATTGCAGAATGCACGATTAATATTTCCCCTCTAACTCTTCCCCAAGGCATCTGTCTCCCCCATCACCCCCAGGCCCCCTCCCTCCCATCCACCTCTTGCAGACCCTGCAGGCAGAATTGAAAACAGTGTCACCTACCCTGAGAGGCGGCAGCAGCGATGCCAGCAGAGTCCTGCACTGAGGAGAGCACTATTCCATACTCCTGAGCCCTTGCTGGAGGATGAAGCTCCTGTACCAAGGAATTGTGCCTCCAAGTGAGATCAGTCACCCTCACAGTGGATGTGGACATGGGCATGGGCACAGCTCAGCTGCCTCCTGCAGGGCTGCACCTCACAGGTCCCCCTCTGCCACTCACCTCCACCAGGAACCAAACTCCCTGTCCAGCTTTCTCATCGTCCCACTGACATTTGCACGTGTCTGGGCTCCAGGGCTTTTCCACCCCAGCTGCCAGCCAAGGCACCTC